AGGTGGATGGGTTCGGACACGACTGGCTGGTGACCTCCATCTGTTTACATTGATGGAAACAAAAACTAATTTCTATGGGAGAAATGTGTTTAGAACAAAAGAAATTAAGTCAGAAAAAGGGATATTGTCAGTCAATTTTTTAAACCAATAAATTTACAAAAATCTTTTATATCTGAATAAGTTAATAATTATTTATCACGTCATTCTCATACTGCTGTTTTATGTTGCCAACGTTAGAATAAATGAGGGCTATACATAGGCAAACATTCGGATGAGGATGAGCAATTACTAGGTGTTGATTTAATATGAATTATTCATTATAAACATTTCCAGCAACGGACTTTTGTCGATTTCCAGTTTTATACGGTTTGGATCTTTTGTAATGAGGATGTCAAGGACTTTAACGAGGTACCGGCTTGGGTAAATAAAAAAAAAGCTTTGAGATGTTTTGACTCCACATTTAAAATGACCGTGGTTCATATCTTTTTAATCGAATAGTTTTAAATATACAATTGAATTGTTTAAAACATTTAAAAACATAACGGAAATAATTTCCCAGTGAAAACCGTGCAGTGCTTTGAAGAACGGCGACTTCCTGTTAAAAAATTGTTAGCTGTTACTAAGTACTGACTTATATATGTTCAACTTTGCACATACAACATGTATAACATAAATAACGGTTTTGGAAGTCCAGGATCAGACGTTGGATCCGTTGCGCCGCCGAAATTTGGTTTCGAGGCTGTCAAGCATTTTTGAACCTAGACCAACTGTCCTACTTATATTTCACTCAAGTAGGGTGGTGGAGTAGTTGATATTCCACTATCACTCTTTACACATACTATCTAACTAGTCTATGACTCGAAATTCCACCATGCCCTTTCGCACTGAACATTTACGCTAATAAATACATTCAATCTCAATAAACCCTTAAGACAAAACAAAGCGAGAAATAAAGAGATATACTATTTGCAATAAAACAGCCATTTTTCCAACAAAAATCGAAACAGAGGGTGCTCAAGCGCAATTATCGCATGGCATTTCTACACGCTCTCTATATAGAGCCAAGTAATGACGCCCTTCAATCAGGTGGGACAGATCGAGCAACCTTTCTCTGCATGCTTTCACGGATTTCATTTTTTTAATAAAAAGTTGTGCATCAACAGAATCCACCAAAGAATCATCTCAGCTAGCTTACTATGCCAGACCAGTCTGGCTCACTTACCACCCTAACCTATTTCTACATGGCCTTGTGTGTCATCCTCTCAAGGCCTATATTTAATCTGATGAGGATGGTATCATCTTTTTTTTTCTTTTCTTCAATTTCAAGTGTCACCTATAAACCGTGCTCTTGATACTTAGGAGATTTTGCCGACCCAGCCCAGCGACGCCATTTCTTTTTAATTACGTTTTTGTCGCATTTTTAGTGTCAAGGGGCCGTATCGTGTTGGTCAGGTCCGGAGGTTGAGACATACCGACCTTAGCCACCTCGTCCGCTTTTTTTAACCCTCCAGAACTTAATGAGTTTTTGTTATTAACCCTGCAATCTCCCTTTTTGAAATTTGGTTTTTATCTTTCTCTAAACTATATAATTAAACATTTTTAATTTTAACGTTTAGAAATTTTTGGTCCATCGTTGAAAACCTCTTAACAAAATTGATGGCGGGGTTTTGTATTCCCCAATAGTGCCAAATAGTGCAGCCTTCTGGCTAACTATACTTTTCCAAGTTCCTTAAGTACAATTGACTCGATCCTTCTTTTAAGAATTATTAGGTCAGTGACTCATAGCTGCAATTCTTTTTCCCGGGTCTTCTTGGTACCCTTGGTTAAGTCGGATGCTTCACATTCAAAGATCGTATAATATAGGCAGTTGGTACCGGTCTCTAACCCCGAGTTAAAGTTTTTTACGAGTTGTCTATGTCTGTGTCCTCTAGATTTTGTCCTTTTGTTTTGTGTAGACCCATTCTGAGTTGGAAGAGTCAACGTTTGATCTTGTTATCCCGAGTACACATAAATGTCGAAAATTTCAGGTGATTCTACCCACCATATGCAACAACAACTTCCTCTGAATCAGTGTTGGGCAAAAATTAGTCATGTCTAATCACTCAGACCGTCAGTCATGATTGGTAGTAAGTGACTAATTTAGTCATTAGTCGCCATATGTGATTGATGGCTAAATTAGTCATGACTAGTAATTAAATACGAGGCATGACTAATTTAGTCACAATATAGTTAGTCATGACTAAATTTCGATAAATCATGTTCAAATGGGTGCTCAAAAAATGAAAAATACACTTCATCACTTTTAAAAAATTTTCTAACAGAAATTTATTTTATCAAAACGAAAATCCTTCAACGCCTTATTTAACAAAAATCAATTTTCCAATTATAAGTAAAACTCCGTCGTTATGAAAAGCCAAAAAATAATGATAATGATAATAATAATAATAAAATCAAATTAAAAAATCCTAGAACAAGCTACGCTTTGAAAAGTAAATATGTTTACATAACCGATCAATGGAAAAAATATTTCTTTGGATTAAAATTTATTCCACTTAAAAGGAGAGATTCCTACATTATTTGGAAAATACACCATCTAGGGGTCTTGATTGTAATAAAATAGGCATGTAGAATAATTATGTAACTTTGGTTTTCGTTTATGATAACAATTTTTGAAGGTTGGCCTTGAGCACGACTCTCATCTCAAAATTTTTATCCGGAGTCGGTTGGATTTTGGTAAGTTGGTCGTTGTAGCCAGAGTTGGGCAAAATCAAACTAATTCAATCATGGTTAAGAATTTTGATTGAAGTTTAATCATGATGGAATTAATCATGAGTAAATTAATCATTATATGATTTAGTCATACCTCATGATTGAATTAATTATGATTAAATCATATAATGATTAATTTACTCATGAATAATTCAATCATGATTAAACTTCAATCAAAATTCTTAATCATGATTGAATTAGTTAGATTTTGCCCAATTCTGCTATGAACCCCTGTCTCAATGGTAAAGGAGTAATTGCAGGATTTTTTCGACTTAGGTCCACTAAATTGCTTATAACTTCAAAATCACTGACTGTAGAAAAATCTGGTTTGTGCTGAAAGAACGTTAAATTTGCTGTAGGAAACCTATTTACATTGCAGAATTGATGGAAATTGATGTTGGATTGGTAACTGTCAATAACTACAAACTCCTGAAGTTTTTCAAATTCCCTCAAAAGTTCTCCATTCAATTAGCTTCCAGCTGTATACCCACGTTTTTGTATTGCGCTTCTGGAAGGCCCAAAAATGTTGCATTTTGTTGAAAAAAAACTGGTGCCGATGATTGGGGCCACGTTCAATTTTTTCAGGAAATCCGCCTGGCTCTTGAGTTTCGTGTCAGTTCTTTATTGTTCAATTAAATCAGTTTGCTTTGTGTTATCAGCTGACAACTTCCTCAGGTCGTTAACAACAATTATTTCCTTGTTTCCAAATGCACATCCTGCTGATATGCACTTCATTTACGGTTACTGCAACGGTGCTACTGCAGCATGGAGAGAATACCAAGCTCGTTTTCCACATTGAGACGGTCCAGCAGATCGCACCTTCCAACGACTTCTTCAGAGATTGAAAAAACTGGTTCTTTCACTCCAAGAAGAGGGAAAACAATCAGTGAATTAATATAGATGTTTGGAAAATTAAAAAAAAAAAACTGAAATTACTTCACCGTTGAGATTTGGACAGGGGTTTATAGGAAGTTTTTGGTTGCATATGGTTAGTAGAAACACTACCTGAAATTTTCGACAGTTATCGCCAGTCACCCTATAGTCTTGAAGATCCTCCTCTGACCACTTTGTTCGCTGTTCATTACCAGAACTGGCTTCCCTTGCTCTCAAGATAACATCAAGTCCTTATCTTTTCCTAGGTTTTGGAGATTTTGGACTCGTTGGTTATTTTGGTTGGAAAAAATTTTTTCGTGTTAAACATAAATAACATTTAATATTTAAAATAATTTTACAAATAAATATGACTTGGACATTTTTCAGTGGGCATTCTTTATTGAACGTAAATTTTAATGTTGTTATAAATTGAATTTGTAAAATCCTTTCTACATTTTCATGCCCGTATGCATGATTATAGCTCCAGTCAAACACAAATGAAATGTTTATTTCATTACAAACGTTTCCATTTCCGATGCGTTTTCCATTTGAAACTTTCCATGCCGAGTATTTTATTCTGATTCGATTGAACAGGAAAGGCCGGGATTTATTGGCATGGAATGAGAGAGAGTGAGAGAGAGAGAGGGTGAGTGAGAAAGAACCCCGGGAGGAACGTGTCACATATTTTCCATTTCAAAAGGAAAACTCGGGCAAGAAAAAGCTGAAATCGCTTCGCAGAAATGACTTTAGAGTGGTGAATTTGAAAGAGACCGACCAGAAATAGCAACACATCACGGGATTAGAGAAAGATTCCTGACCGCGGCTATTAAAACGCTCACAATGATGTGACCGCCTGACGTTAGCCTTTTATTATTTTAACAAATTTTTAAAAACTTATTATCCGAAAAATAACGAGTTTTTTTAAATCCTTGATTCATTCATGACGTTTTTTCATCATTCACCGTAAATTAAATTAAAAGGTGGTTATTTTTATGCTTTTGCGAACAAGAAAATATTTGTTGTAAATCCTTAAAAAATTGTGAAAACGAAAAATAAATATCACACATCAAACATATACAATGTATAGAATACACACCACCCATGAAAATTAATAATGTTTAAAATTACAGACATTTTCCCTCTTGTCAATATTTCCCCAAAAAAAGATTATTTTAAATCAGTCACAATTACAGTAGACTTTAAGCACTGAAATAAATAAAGAGTATACCGAAATATAGTTAAAAATAATAAATATATTACAAAGTAAAAAAAAATGTGAAAGATTTGCAAACTTCGATTTTTTTTCACTTTTGTGCAATACAGAGGTAACAGTTTTCTTGTGTTTTTCAACCCCGAAGAAAGCGTAACTCATCATTTATGTACTGGCGAAAGAAATGCGAGATGAAGCCCTGCGAGAAGAAGTTAAAATGGTAGTCGGGTGCCGGCTGACGTTTATTCTTAAGAAATGGGAGAAAGGGTGGAACCTAGGAGGCTGCCCCAGTGGAGCCAGTACAGCCACCAGCACCATCATCACAACTACGAGAACGGTGGGACGGTGAGGCAGCCGAGGCATTCCATTAGCCAGGAAACCTGCGATCACGTCTGCAAGGTGAGAAAGAAAATTCCACATGAACAAAATAATAATAACCCGACAATACACACTATAATATGTTCTAGCTGATTGTATTACTTAGTTCATTTAATCTACTTTTCAACTTTTACTCAAATAAATTATACATCTAACTAAAATATTTAAAATATTCAATTTTTTGGCATAATTGTTTTTGTTGAGGTTTAGTCCACCAGATTAATGAGGCATAAGATGGAAAAAATGAAAATGATCTATTAATTGATCAAATAAAAAATCACACAGTGTAAAAATCATATTTACATGTTTGGATTTTGTGCCTGTTAAAATGTATTTTAAAATAAAGTTTTGAACGATCTAAGAAAAAAAATATGGGAATTAATTGTATTTTGTTAAACCGTAAATTAGTTAAAGGAAGAAGACACATTCTTCTAATTTTAATTTGTTGTTAAAAAGGGAAAAAAACCATCGGTTCAAAACTGCAGGCTTTCATTTCATTAGAGATCAAATTAGATTAGAATCAAGCCTCGAACATGAAACAGCCAGCTTAACTTCATTGTTTATCACCAGAAACAAGATTAAACTGAGACAAAGCCGTGAGGATGGTGAAATGAGGTGATGCTACGGATACACCTACTGCACTAAAACCTATGCTCATATATCATATATTTCAATTTAACTTATTTTCAAATAATTTCTCCCCTCGGTGGTTTCCATTCCTCTGGTAATTAATATTTGATTGTGCACTTCCTAGTATTTGTAATTCGGTTATGTTTAAAGTTAATTTTTAGAAGATAAACTTTCAAGAAACTCAATTTGTTCTTTTGTGGCCTGTTCAACATTCAAATTTAATTTTTTAAACCACTGCTAAAGTTTCAAATGATTCAATTCTCAAAAAGTTGTTTTTATGCTTAAATTTAAATCAAATAATGATCAAATCATCAATTATTCTGTAAAACAAGATAGAAAAAAATTAGTTGTCGGAAAAAAATCTATTAGAGAAGAAAAGCAAGAAATGTTGCTTTTGTGCAAACATGTTGAAATTTGTCAAATGAACAAACTTAAAACAACTAACTTTTTCTCGCCTGATAACTTTTTGATGCTTTATATTATAAAGAAAATTTACATTATGAAAAATTATGGTTTTGTTTGTTAGAAACCTGTAGTCATCAGTAACAAAACTAATACTAAACACAATTTTTATTAAAAAAAAAAAATAATAATAATAATAATGATCACTAACAACAAATACATAAATTTGCATATGTGTATGTTGTATACTATTGTCCATTGATGTACTTTTTGTTGTTTTAGGCAGCTTACGAATTTTATTAACAGTACCAAAGAATAAACAAATTCTTCATACACTGTTCATTAACAATACATACAAATACAATACAATTTATTTAATTAAAACCTATCGTACTTTATTACAGTAAAAATATTACCTCTAAATCGACAGGTGATGTTACTGGGTGATTCTGGAGTTGGAAAGACGTGCATCCTAGTACGGTTCAGGGATAATCTTTTCCTTTCGGGCAACTTCATATCAACAGTAGGAATAGACTTCAGGGTGAGATGGATATAAAATTATACCATTTTTAAAAATATAATTTGTGAATTTCTTCATTAAGTAAGGTAAGTAGTAAACAAGTATCATTTTTATGACGTGGATATGGATCACCTGCCTGTTTCAAGTAAGTTGTTTTTCCTTAAATACATTTTTTCTTGTTATTTATTTGTTAAACTATCTGTTCTATGTTTATTTTAAAAAAAACCCTGTTCATTTCTTGTCACACAAAAAAACAATTACATCAATATTAGAATGGTTAATCAGAACAAATAAATATATTAACGATATAAACTCTTTTTTTATGAAATAGCAAATAAAAATGAATTAATAAAAAAGATCCATTTAGGATCCCAGATCATGCTGGCAATGAAGGGAATAAAAAAATTGATAAAGCCGCTTGTCTCTAAGCAGACATTAATTATCCAAGCAGATGCAAAAAAAGAAATGAAAAGAAGTTAAGATCATTGGAAAACTTTCTAGACTAAAATTATAAAAGAAAACACACAGGACATTAATTGATTACAATTAGAAACAAAAAGAAAGAATCATATTGATTTGACTGCAGATAGGACACACCAGGCTGACACAAGGGCATCTTCTTAGAAAGACCTCAGAGTTGCCCTTTGTGCAGCACCCAAACATTAATCTGCCAGTGGATTGGCCTTATCCAGCTAACCCAGGAGCATCTTGCAGAAAAAAGACTTATATTGAGAAAGACTACAATAGATATAAACAATATTCAACTGTGAATGACTGCACAAGTTCCAAAAAAATGCAACTTATTTAGAAAATATTAAAACGTAACAGTAATTGCAGAGATAAATTATTTATCAGTTAATACAAATTTATGGTTGCATATAGGAAACCTCTTCATACATGGCTTTTAATCAAATGAGACCTTATTTATTGACCAGAATGATTGAGCACGGTTAGGTGAGTTTGTGACAGAATGTTGTGTACCTAGGCCTATCAAAGTACTCTAGATTAATATATTTTGTAGTATCATAGGAAGGGGCATTAGAGTTATATTAAAACCCCAATGACTACTAAAAAAAATAAAGAATATATTTTATATAAAAATATGAAGATAAAAAGAAAAAAACGCAAGATTAAATTCCATTTGATGATATTTTGCTTAATCCTTTTTCATTGTTTTTAATTCAAAAAAATGTTTCTGTTACAGAACAAAGTTGTAGTAGTGGACGATGCAAAAGTCAAGCTTCAAATTTGGGATACAGCGGGACAGGAACGGTTCAGAAGTGTGACACATGCATATTACAGAGATGCACAAGGTAGTGATTCAACAATTTGCCCATATGTGTAGAGATTAGAAATTTGTCCATAGTTTTGTTCAAATTGACCAAGATGATTTGAAATTAACGAGCAGTTTGTTGCAATCTGTCCATTTTTCCCGACACCTGGAAGACATTAGATGTTACATAATGAAGCATATATTTTAGTTTAAACTGTGCAAATTATCATTATGCCTTAAGATTATTTGATTTCTTCCCGTGTTCTTCCTTGCGGGGTAATGAATCTGTAGCTTGGTCATTACTGATTATTTTGCTCAGCCTATTCTTGCTGTATTAGTCTGTCAGAATCGGACACTTGCCACATTTGTACTCAACAAATATAAATATACAAAATTATAAATTAACATATAAAAGAGACGACCTCACAGAGGCACTGAAAATGGCCAAAAGGAGACCCTGACAGAACAATCTAGTGAGGATAGAAAAAAGGCCGAAATGATCATACGACCAAATTAGAATTAATTTTTATTGAAGTAAAAAGATCAGGGATGAAGCCATGTAGGTGAACAAAACCCATTTGTTTTTCTGCTGTCGAGCTTTCAGCTGTACTTGACGCCTTCCTCAGGACTCTATTTATTTACAATCAGTGTTACACTACATATTACATATATAAATTATAATGATAAATTACCAACTTACTTGAAAAACTATTTAAAAAACCACAATCAATTCAGACATGTGATTCAAATAAACTCAACAGCAGAAAACCAAGTTGGTTTTTTTCCACCTACATGGCTTCATCCCTGATCTCTTTACTTCCATATTTATTCTGAAGGCCGATACTACACTCAACGAGAATTAATTTATTACAATTAGTAAAAAAAAAGAATCATATTGATTTGACTGCAGATAGGTCACACCAGGCTGACACAAGGTCATCCCCTTGCCAACGAAAGACCTCGGAGATGCCCTTTGTGAAGCACACAAATATCTGTAAAGCGCATAGTAACAGAATGTGCCGCAAACTGTAAGGTGTGGCCTGCCTGCAGGCTTTAAACCACTTTAATGCAGTAGTCATATCTAGGGAGTCCTTTCATACTAGGTTAGAGTAAAGTCTTAATTTGAGTGAATGTATTAATTAGCAAGAATGTTATAGTATGGTTTTTTTTTGGTTTATGTTATCATATTACCCATGACTTCTCAAACTAGCTAACATGACCTGCGTGAGTGGCAAGGGTACGTCCTCGAGGTACCCGGGGCTAATATGCCCTGCTCCCCCTCCAACCACCCCGCTGGCCAAATGCACCGAGAACCGGCCATACCACCACAATAATCACGCTCCTAACTACAGATTCTCACAAATTTTCACAGTGACATTCACTCACACCTCAATGTTACATTCTTTTAGAAATTAATAGAGCAGATCGTGGATTTCCTTCCTACTGTGGTAGAGCGGCGGCGTATTTAGCCGAAGATCATGGGTTCGAATCCCGCTCGTGCAATTAACTTTTTTCATCTCAATTAAAAAAGCCTTAATTAATTGTAATGTATTAATTGGTCAAGTGGACCACGAAATTAGTGAATTTAATATTTTCCACAGTGTTAAACACAATACTTTTAAATAATTAAGTAGCTGTTAATTATTAAGTTTCTATCATCATATTTAAATTTCAGCTTTACTTCTCCTCTATGATGTTACTAGAAAGCAAAGTTTTGACAATATTAGAGCATGGCTAGGAGAAATAAGAGAATACGCCCAAGATGATGTCGTAATAATGTTACTGGGTGAGTGAAATCGGTGCAGCTCAATAAAAAATTGTGTTCATTTATCTCTTCTTTGTTTTAAGGAAATAAATCTGACTGTCAGAGCTCGGAGAGGATGGTGAGAAAAGAGGATGGGGAGAGACTCGCGAGCGAATATTCTGTCGCATTTATGGAAACGTCGGCGAAAACTGGACAGAACGTGGAACTCGCATTTATGGCTGTAGCTAGGTAGGTACACATTATTTTACTTTATGATTCAAATACGGTATAATAAATAATAATTTTCTGATTCTTCCTTTTTTTTTTTTTTCTTCAGAGAGTTAAAGGCTCGTAAAAATGGATCTCAGAATAAATCATCATTCAATGTAAAAGAATATGTGAACGAGCACACTAACAGGGCACCATGTTTTATCTGCGGCTGAACTCATTAAGGAAGGGTCACATCATAAATGCCTTATCCGTACGTTCAGGAAAACCGAAAGTGCATTTAAGTCAGATTCTTCAAGCACAAAAAAATAATAATAACAAGATGTAATATAATATTGTTTTATAAACTTGTCAATAAATAATTTCATATTTCACTATAATAATGATTACTTTTGTACATTAGCAACTGAAATAAATGGACCATATTTTTTTTAAGGCTTTCTGGTTTTATAAAACATGAAACTAAGTAATTGCAAGAAGGGCAGGTACAATTTATACTTGGAAATCATTAAATGAGTTTCACAGTAAATGTTAAAACTAATGCTTTAACATTTTATTAAGATTAGACGTGAAAAATGGCTGATAAAATAAAGACTGCCTAAGAAGTTCTTTATCGCTGTTCCATGATATTTGTTTTTGTTCTTTTTATGTTTTTTCATTAGCATCTTGGTAAAACAAAAAATAATTATTGAAAAAGATGAGGAACAGTGTGTTAATTATATATAATACATTAATATTATGGATGTATTATCAATGTTTACTAGATTATTGAATTTAAAAAAAATAGCAGTAGATTAAAGTAATAATGTTGCATATCACTCACTCAATGCTTATTAAATCTATAAAATGTATTCAATGTCAATTTCCGAATGAGCTTTTGCTGCGTGTACCAAGTGTTTGTCAATGTTATTTCATCATATTTGTGTACTTTGGGTGTTTAATTGTGAAAAAGAGTACCAATCTTATTAAAGTACTTTGATATGGCAGTTACATATTGATTACATTGTAATTATTCCAAAGAGAATAATAATCAGGCATTTTTATATATATATTTTTGAATGGTGTTATCGATACTTTTTTTGCCTTTTGACTGACACACTGGATAAATGAAATTATTTAAAATAATTTTTAGTAAATTCGTACCAAAACAGTAATAGACGTGAGTGGAAGGGATTCATATATAAATGTCGTCGGTCTATCGTTCTAATAAATTTAATAAATGTCAAAGTGGAAATATAAAAGTCGTTCTTGTAGTCGTTCAACTACTTAGAAAAAAATGGTTGAATTAATTATGAGCATAAGTACAAACATATATCTAATTTCGCAACTTTTTTTAACGTTTAGTGGATTTTGAAGTATTATTTGGATTTTTTGAAGGTGTTTTCACTAATTAAAGAACAGTATTACTTTATTTTTATTTTTTAAATTGTCTAGTTTTGAGAAAATTTGACAAGCAATTCATCTAAAATTTGATACTAGTCGAAATTAAACGGACATATTTATTATAATTAGTAATATGTATATTTAAGCAATAGTTCGTTTCACACTTTGTACCAAGATTCACTGTTCTTTAAAGAAAAATTTAACTACATATTTGCTCGTATTTCTGTTCTTCCCAACCTCTTAGATAAAATGAGGGTTTTTACTGTAAACGAAATAGTCGGAGTTGAAATAAGACTTTGTAGAATCTCAAAATATGATAGTAGAAAAAAAAAAGGTCGATTGTTTTTAATTATGTAATAAATGATAATACTGTTATACATTGCATTTATTTGACTGTTAAAGCAGCATCAAATATGTTTTTATTATGTTATAAATCATAGAAAATATTTTAAATTGGTTATTTGTTTGAATGTAAATAAACAGAGATTTCTAATGTTGAATAAAAGCATTATTTTAGAAGTTAGGTTTCCGTTGTTTCTTATTTTTTGAAATTAATACCTATTTACCCTTTATACCTGTAGTGATCGCTATATGATATTTTCTCTCCCAAAAATTTTATTTTGTATTGTTTTCATAACAATTAATTCACTATTTTTCGTGGTCCGCTTGACCAATTAATAATATTCAATTAATTAAGGTTAGACATTTGGAAAATGACAAAAAGGAGGGTAATTCAAAAGGTGGGGTTGAGATGGGAAGTTAGTGCCCGAGGCGATCGAAGTCACGATAGTTCAAGTGGTAGAGTAGCAGCGTATCAAGCCGAAGGTCGTAGGTTCGAATACCGCTCATGACACTGACTTTTTAATCTCAACTTATAACGATTAATATTCATGTTTCTCTCTAGTTTCTATTTAGAATCTTCTCTACCCAACACAGTTTAGTATCCAATTTTGCAGCAGTTTGTCTTTCACTTCAACTTAAATAACATTTTAAATTCCTTTGAGATATTTTCTCATCAGGCAACCATGTTACTAAAACTGCCACTCTTAAATTTTGTTATTTTATTAACTTTCTTTTTAAAATGTAGGTAAAATCAGAAAGAATAAAGGATAAATTGCTCCAGTTAATTATTTTTCTTAAGGAAAGGAAATCATGAACACTCTGACTATTCAGTGATTATATTAGCTTATTTTACATCTACAAAAAATAAAAATTATAGCAAATTTTAATAAGGATTTTCTGCACATCAAACAAATTGTGTCATTCACGGAAAAAAAGAAATAAAAAAGTACCATACCCAGAATATTCAATAAAAACAAAAAACAAAAAAATTTGGGGCCTGACCCAAATAAATTAAAGCCTACTATTGACTTATCGCAATCCATCGACAATTCCAGCTTTTGTAATTTACAGTAAATTACTGACAGGCCTTGGGAATCACCTACCCCGAGTGTTGGCAGTCACGAGTCAGACCTTGGTCTTATCCAACCAGCCGCCAAGGTTGGACTCCAGGGCCTATCCACAGCAAAGTTCTTTCAGACCCGAACAAAATCAATTACAAAATTCATTCACTCAGTTAGGGTAATGGAGTACTTGATATTCCTCCACCACCCTTTTCACCTATTATATAACTAATTTAATTGAGAGTCGATGGGGTACTCAATATTCAGCCATCAACCATATCAAGCTACGCATTCATGCCAATAAATACATTCACTCTCAACTTACACTGGGACACAAAACTATCATTACTATATAGAATAAAACAATCTTGTTTCTTCCAAGATTCGGAAGAGGGGACCTAGATACTTGCTGCCATGGCCAAGCACAATTCTCACATTGGATGGCTACATGCTCTCTATATGGAACCAAAGAATTGTACTCTTCAATTAGATGGGACAGATCGAGCAGTCTTTCTCTGCATGCCAGGACACATATGCAGCTTGCGTGGCAAAAGCAAGTGACCATCAAAGGGTCATCTTAGTTTCGTATCTCAGCCAGCTCACTATGCCAGAGCACTCCAGTTGGGGGATTAGCTAATCCTGGCCCTGAAATTGATGAGAACGAAGTGTTTTGGATAGTTTGGAAGTGATGGTTTTGTAAGGTATGATTTTATTATATTAAGAAAGTGAGTGAATTTTTGTATAAAAAAAAAACTATTTGGGGTAACTATATGGTGTTGGTTTGTCCAGCTATTTATATCAATTTACCACATTTTATAATACAGAACAACAATAGAAAATCTTTAATGTTATGTATAATTTGAACATAGATCAGCAATATCTTATTTTATTTAAAAAGCATAGTGCAAAGGTTTATTGTGCAAACATCAGCAGATTTTCTAAAATAGCACACAACATTTTTCATTAAGATGAAGATTATTGTCATAAATCATAAAATATTTTATGCTGACGTATTATAAATATATTTAGCACTAATATTATATTGCACAAATATTTTTCATAACGTATGTTTTGTAAGTTTTTAAATTTTACAACAAATAAATACTTACAAAATCTGTTACCAAGGACAGTTATGTTTCCAGTAAGAAACTCATCACAGTATTACAATTCAATAAACTCAAGCAAATTGATACAAACATGAATTGAGATATTACAATGCATGCTCCATCTGCAGTGTCATTCATGCGCAAGATCCAATTCAGATTCTCGGTATTTTTCCCAATGATACAACTGCTGAGATAACCATACAACTGTAAAAGAAAAAATACAATTATGTTTTAATATATCAAACAAATCAGATATATTTTTAATCACCATTAAGCTCAATATAAAAGACAACATAGCAAATGAAACGATTAAATAATAAAACTGGTAAAACATTTGCCAGTATCCGATAAATATCGCATACAATGACAACAAGTAGTAGCCGATAGTAACAATTCCACCGAACCGTAAAAAAAATATCTGGAAATGATACAGTATAGATTTTTTGAAATTGACTAACGTTATTATTTCTTTTAAATCTACAAGAATATATATACGCTTACCTTCTCAAATTTTACTAGTAATGTAATTAACAGTATTAAAATAATATCAGCTGCAAGCGAATAGAGTATGATGTAACGCCGCTCATTAGCCCACAATCCTCCACCAAGAAAGCCCACGGTAATTGGCTTAAAGAAGTCGATTAACATACATTTCTTTTAAAACATAAATTTATAACAAATACCAAATAATTTTGACAATAAATTTACCAAAACAGCCAATAGTATCTTGTTTATTGGATAATAATTTCTTATTCTATGATAACAAAGCAGTAGGACGTACAGGACCAAAAAGCATACTCTAAAATTTAAAAAAATATATATATTATATATATATTATACCCATCTAAAAAATGAATAAATGGTATGGAATGATATTATTTTAAAATTAAAACCCTACATACTTGCCTGGCAGCAATTCTTTCAACTGAAGATAAACTGAACATTTCTCTTATGTAAGAACTGAAATACAGAAGATTTCTCTGTATAATATATATAAACTACATAATTAAATCCATTCAATGTGATTTAATTTTTTTCAGATCCATAGCTCAAAAGAAAGCAGAATAAACTCAGTTGAATGGTGAAAGTACACAATGTTTAAATATTTTTCGTCTTTAATCTGAAAAATATTAATTCATCTCACTTCATATTGAGTCCTGTAGCCATAGCTGCTGCGAATAGTGTCTCTGATATTACAATTCCGTATATTCTCGAGACAAATAAATTTTTCTCTGATTCATCTTCAAATACAGAGTAATCCGATCTAGAATAGTGAAAATAAATTATTTCAAACAAACGTGTTCACAATACTTTTTTTCTTGACTGGAATATAATTAAACATTGATGTTGCTCAGTGATTGTTAACTATTTTGAAAAACTAAACACAACATACTCTTCAGATATGTCTGATTCAATTGATGACTCAGACTTCATCATCGATGCAGCTTTTAGAAAATCTTTTAAACCCTCTTTTCTTGTTTACAACATTGATTTGATAAATGGAACAATGGACATTTTACAATTATTTCAACTGACTTGAAATTTTATTACATGCTTTTTACACACTGACTTTCTTGCTAGTCATACAGTTCAAATACTTTTTAGACGTTACAAGTAGTACAATAAGAATTGAATGAAAATAAAAAATAGTTAAATATATTTTCTGAACCAGCTGATGAAGAAACATTTTTGTGTACATATTCTACAACGTATTATTAAATGAAATAGGTTAGTTAAAGATGACATTTTCTTAGCAATATTGTATGTTAGAGACTGGAACAATTGAACATTGTATAATCAATTATAGAGATAATTCTCGGCATTATGATAGGATTTACGCATGTTAAATAGTTTGGTCAGTTCTGATTGTCTGTCAATCCTTGTGAAGTACGCCAAACCAAAACAGCAAGGTTAGGCAGATCAGGATGATCAATAAACAAATAAGCTGTTGATCACCATGCAGAATTTAGAAGCAATAGCTAAAAGAATGTAATATGCATATGTTTAAAAAAAACTCTGCTTTTTAATAAGATGACACTCAATATAACAGTGTAAACATAGAAGCTATGTGTTAAATAAAAACAATAATGACAACAATTGTTCAAACACATAATTTATTACAATTATTAGTTGAAAAGGGTAGTTCTATTGAGAAACTGATTTTGCAGTGATCCAAATTTTGTGTCCTATCGAACTATTCAATCTAAAATCTGCTTGAAAAAAATTACTTGTAGAAATCTGGACTATTGCAAAACCAGTTGTAACTATCCGTTTCAATTATTGTATTGATATACCATAACTATTTTTATTAATTTTTACAATTCTGTAAAATCTGAATTTATAAGGGATATGATAGAGGTTTTTTATTATAGAGATATTTTCATATTTAGCCCTGGCTTGGAAGACTTTTTGCAAGCTAAGGTGGCCAAAGAGCCATGGGAAGAAGCATTACAGGCACAAAACTAAAGGACAAAAGAAGAAAAATATTGATACGTCAGCTGACAGAAATGCAAGCCAAAGAACAATAGTTAAATCTCTATAATGGAATTTTTTTCGTGTGTCCTTTCAGTGGTCACTTAAGCTTGTACAGCCTTTCCTTTCTTCTACTTGTCCCAACTCATATTTAATAAGGCTGACATTTTCTTTATATTTAGATTTTCTGTTTTCCGCACTTTGTTACATCGGCTCATAGTTTTATGTATAACTTTGACATGAACCATAATTACTGGTTGTTATATCTTGAAATTCTACACTTGGATTGATGAAGATTTACTTTATAGCCCAAAACGTCCATCTCTAAATAAATTAAACTACCACGGAATACCTGGTTTCTTTCAACCTTAATATTTTATCTCACTATGCACTCAATAATGAACATAATGGAAATGAGCTGAGAGATGATGATAAATGCGCAAATCCAGCAACAGTCTGGAAATCAAAACTTAGAAAGAGAAAACAGGGGGATAGGAGATTTCAATGAGCTGGGAAGGAACTGGGGAATCCTGGCCTACAACCAAGAACAATGGAAATCTAGGAAGGAGGCCTGTATCTATTAAAGCCTAGTCAAGATTCTTTTATTAGTGAAATCTTAGAAAGCATATTGAGAACATTACAAAACATGATTTAGTTCTTAAAATAATTTTGAGCATGATAAGAATAAGAGTTCATGAGGTCATGATATCTTAGCAATCATATAGAGGACATCAAAGAACTTCACTGGAATAACAGGACTTTTTTAAAGTTTAAAATTTTAAATTGTTGCTGTACATTATATTGTGGATAGATGTGGTTAATGCCCTTTCTTTCTTTACAGTTCTTTTCCTTTCCTTCTCATATTTTCTTCCAACTAATTTGTTTTACCATGCTGCCATGTTATATACTTGTCTATTAAACTTTACTTATTTATGTGATTGACTAGCTTGTTTCCCTGTCCTATTGCCAGCCTCTCTCTACCTCACGGTCTTGTAAATCAAGGATAATATTATAATAAACATAACTACTTTATACTTGTAATAAAAAATATACATTTAAAAAAATGGTTAGCATTCATACTATTTCAGAGTACTCAGTATTCCTCAAAATAATGGAAGTCGGGGGCATCAGTGGCCTCAACAATTTAGGAATTGACACGGCACTCATCGATGTAAAGTAAAAGGTCCCGGGTTCGAATCCAGTGGCGCTGCATTCCAACCCAACATACTTACAAATGGGCTTTTTTTCAAAAGGCCCCTTCCATTCACTCTAATAAATTACATTCATACGCCAATGCTACTTTATACTGCTCCAGTGTGTTCAATAATCCTGGGGGTAACAAGGGAAGAAGCTCCCCCCCCCATTGACGATAATAAATTACATTCATACACTAGGCTATATTCACTGCAAGAGTACTCGATATTCCTTGTATATCCTCAGGGAAGAAATCATTCCATCCATTAATAAAACAAAAGCTATTACCTTAAATTAAAATCTACCTTATATTAAAATATTATCAAAGGTAATAGTTTTTCCTGGATTGACACTTTGTAATGACCTTTTGTTCGCCTGAAGAAGGTCATAGGTTTGAAACATGTTGTACCACAGTATAAACCACGAGGAGGAAAATATTTTGACTAATCAAGCCTGCCATTTCCTCTGAATTTAACTCCAATAAATACGGTCACACAACACATAAATTATTCATGCATGGTACTAGATATTCTTTGGTGATTGAAGAACCTCACCCCGACGTTCTCGCTAATAAATTCATTCCAATGAATGACACAAACTAACAAAACTATCACAAACATAAACGTAAAAAGATCAATCTATAGTTAAAGATATTTTGGACCTGAGATATTGGATCAGCGATTTGTGCATTACAGAGATCATTTAATCATGAGAGTTTAGAAATCACGCAGAGAATGTCAAAAAAATTAAATGGAATAGTTAGACATTATTGAAAGTTTTAAAATAATCCTGAGCATGTAGAAGCTATTAGCTCATTATGAGAGATTAGAAAGCTTACACTTTTCATTCACAATTTTATATTTAAATGGTTTCTTGAAAGGCACTTCTGGTCATAGTAAGATGATTATCACTCTGATATGTATTAGCCTTTGCATAAAGATACCTCTAACACTTTTATATTTTTTAACAGTTTAAAATTATTTGCTGCTGTTATAGTGAGAGGCATAGTGAGATTTGCATTAGCAACTGTTCTTTTAAGTAATAAAACTAAATACTGGTACTACTAGTAAGGTAACTAGATATAAGAATACGGAAAAAGGTATTTTAGCTAACTCTATTAAGCATCAAAGAACTGTTGCTAGTAACTTTTATTATTATTTGTAATTATTATGTAAATCAATTAATAAAGTTTTGTTCTTGTTTATTGTATAACAGCATAGGCATAAATCGTAATGCAATCTGAGAGTATATTTTAAGCTATTCAATTAATAAGGTTTGATTCATCAATTTGCATGATAAAACCCTCAAGGTTTCTTTTCAGGACGAAATCTGACTTCTGAATGTTTACTTTTTTAACAGTTTAAAAATATTTGCTTTTGTTATAGTGAAAAGCTTAGTGAGCTGCATTAGCATTAGCAACTGTTCTTATAAGTAATAAAAGTAAATACTGGTACTAGTAGTAAGGTAACTAGTAATAGGAATATGGATAAAGGTATTTTAGCTAACTCTATGAAGCATCAAAGAACTGTTGTTAGAAACTTTAATTATTTGCAATTATTATGTTTTATACTTTAATAATTTGCATGATAAAACCCTCAAGATTTCTTTTCAGGACGAAATTGGACTTCTGACACGTTTACATTTTTTAACAGTTTAAAAATATTTGCTTTTGTTATAGTGAGCTGTATTAGCATTAGCACATTAGCAACAGTTCTTTTACATAATAAAAGTAAATACTGGTACTACTACTTACTAGTAAGGTAACTAGTAATAGGAAGGAATATGGATAAAGGTATTTAGCTAACTCTATGAAGCATCAAAGAACTGTTGTTAGTCACTTTAATTATTTGTAATTATTATGTAAATAAATTAATAAAATTTTGTTCTTGTTTATTGTACATCAGCATAGGCATAAATCAAAATGCAGACTGCGAGTATCTTCTAAGTCATTCAATTAATTAGGTTTGATTCATCAATTTGCATGATAAAACCCTCATGGTTTCTTTTCAGGACGAAATCTGACTTCTGATACGTTTACATTCTTTAACAATTTAAAAATATTTGCTTTTGTTATAGTGAGCTGTATTAGCATTAGCACATTAGCAACAGTTCTTTTACATAATAAAAGTAAATACTGGTACTACTACTTACTAGTAAGGTAACTTTTAATAGGAATATGGATAAAAGTATTTTATCTAACTCTATGAAGCATCAAAGAACTGTTGTTAAAACTTTAATTAGTTGTATTTATTATGTTAATTAATAAAGTTTTGTTCTTATTTATTGTTCAACAGCATAGGCATAAATCGAAATGCAGTCTGAGAGTATCTTCTAAGTCATTGAATTAATTAGGTTTGATTCATCAATTTGCATGATAAAACCCTCAATGTTTCTTTTCAGGACAAAATCTGACTTCTGACACGTTTACTTTTTTAACAGTTTAAAAGTATATGCTTTTGTTATAGTCAGAAGCATAGTAAGCTGCATTAGCATTAGGAACTGGTCTTTTAAATAATAAAAGTAAATACTGGTAGTACTACTTACTAGTAAGGTAACTAGTAATAGGAATATGGATGAAAGTACATACTTTAGCTAGCTCTATGAAGCATCAAAGAACTGTTGTTAGAAACTTTAATTATTTGCAATTATTATGTTTTATACTTTAATAATTTGCATGATAAAACCCTCAAGGTTTTTTTTTTCAGGACGAAATCGGATTTCTGACACGTTTACATTTTTTAACAGTTTAAAAATATTTGCTTTTGTTATGGTGAGAAGCATAGTGAGCTGCATTAGCATTAGCACATTATCAACTGTTCTTATAAGTAATAAAAGTAAATTCTGGTACTACTACTTACTAGTTAGTAAGGTAACTAGTAATAGGAATATGGATAAAGGTATTTGGCTATCTCTATGAAGCATAAAGAACTGTTGTTAGTAACTTTAATTAGTTGTAATTATTATGTTAATTAATTAATAAAGTTTTGTCCTTGTTTATAGTACAATAGCATAGGCATAAATCGTAATGCAGTCTGGGAGTATCTTTTAAGCCATTCAATTAATTAGGTTTGATTCATCAATTTGCATGATAAAACCATCAAGGTTTCCTTTCAGGACGAAGTGGGACCTCAAGTTTGAGTTTTTTTTTAGCTTTTGAGGAGTTTCATTTTCAACAGCTTTTTTGTGATTTTCTTCAGCCTCGTCGTTAACAGAGGAAACCGAGAATATTCTTCAATGAAAGCAGAAGGTCAAAGATTTGCTAACGCCTGTGAAATTATGTCGAGAGGGGATCCAGCTTGTCTACAGATCGACGAACCGATGAGGAGCTCGGCGACTCGTTGGCAAATAGCCACTTACCGTAGAAACTCAAAAGTTC